ACATCTTCATCCCACAGACCTAGCAAAAGGAACACTATGCAGATTGCACCTGCAACAAATTGACTTTTCTAGCGATAACCTGCCCAAGGGGTGAAAGAAACTGCTCCATATACTGGGTTGCAGCTCGATGACTTTTTGAAAGACGCATTCGCAATTCATGATCCAACTCGTTGAAATGTCGCAACTTATTCCTGCAATGCAATGATCCTTTATTATCATATAATCGTATACTAATTATTACATTGTACATTTTTCAATCCATAAACAGATTAAAAAAACAAATTTAAAATTCTTCCTTGTAGTTAAATTCTGAAGTGTAGAAAATTACCTTCCATAATTTGAATACCTACGCATAGCAAATGAACCCGGATCTCGCCTTAGCAGCTCACCATAAGTAAAGAAGAAATATAACACTTGATAAATGAATACAAGTGGGAAGAAAATAAAATTGCCAATAGCCATTTTCAATATTGCTGAATCTAATTCATCCGCTGCAAAGTGATATCAACAGTGCTGAATATCAAGCAGTGGTCACTCTTATACTCAACATTCCCATATTCTGTACTTAAATTCCATTCAAATGTTTACGAAGTGAAAGTTTGAATTTCGATTCTTTCTAATAACCTTCGACCAGTTTTAAAATAATAAGAAAAAAAACATGAATTTGAATAATAACCGAATCTAAATGGAGAGTTCATAGTATTAAATTTGTTAAATAAGATTGAAGGTGTACAAAGGAAAATTTTTAATACTTCAAATCTGGATCGACACTCTTTCGTTTATTATTAGGTTTACTAATCTTACCAAGCCTAAATATATTCTGTGGATGTTTGTACTCTTCTTTAAGTTCATATGGTCCCTTCCATGGAGACCATACTCCATAAAACAACAGCCATTCCAAATTCATTTTCAAACCGTTTGGTAAATATGGCATTGAACCAATGAAAGGCACATTAATTACCGGTGGCAGTATTTCCTTATTCACAAGAGCAACAAAATAATTCTAAAATATGAATGTAACAATAAAGAAACAAATGAACAAAAAAAAATCCCTACCATTAAATTGTTACATCGTATTTATTGCACAGAATCACTCCAGCGACACTTTCATGAACAATTCGCCATATCAATCAGAGGAAGGAAAACGAGAAAAAGATAGAAATTTGTTACCTTATGTCTCAGAATACGCTGATAAAGATCCAAAGCAGTAATTCCATCCTTATTTAAAATTAAATGTATAGATGGCTGTTTCTCACATATAAGTTGTACGACATCCTGCCATTTAAGGTCGCTCAATAACGCATCCTCAATCCCTTCAAATTCATTAATTGAAATTTTTTTGAAAATTTTTCCAAAACAGTAAAGATCAGAAATGACTAGGTAGCGAAGTGGCTAAGGATGTCACCTCATAAGCAGTACACATGAAACTTTGATGAAACTTCAACAAAGTAACCACATAACTGTGAGTATCTTATTGTTCAACAAACCTACTAACTGAATTGGAAATCCTTTAAATCGAAGTATGAGAGAGTGGAGCTGATAAACAGATCTTTTTACTTTCCTTTCCATTTCCTCTAGTCAAAAATACAGAAAAGATGAGAAATACACCAAGAAAATCATTAAACTCACCCAGTGCTGAATGATAAAAAGTACGTATTTCATTAAATTGGTAAATTTGATAAAAAACCCGTGTAACTCGGAAAAACCAAAATAAAGCGGCAAAAACCAGCAAGCATAATGTAAAAACATCTACATGACTCCAATCCGGATATATGACATCCTGGAGACAAAAAGAATAGTACATATCGTTAAAATTTCAATCACTTCAACAATTCAAGAAAATATCACATCTCTCAATCTCCTTTTTCGGGGTCTTTTATAATTTTTATTGCAAAATACTTCCACAATAGTATCAGCAAACTTATCTTTTGTAAATTGAAAAGCTAATCCTTCCCGTGAGCTCTTTTTATTCTGAAAAGTTCCAAATAAACAAAGTTCACAAGGAATTCAACTTAATTAAACTAATCAAACTTTTTTCTCGGACCTATCTTTTCAATCTCTTTCAAGAAGTGAGAAGAGTTTGTAAGATACTAAACCTTTTTCACATTACCATGCTATGTTCTAAACTTATCAGAGTATATGGGCAAAAAAAAGTTGGACAGGATAAGTAAAACAGAAGTCAATGAGAAATAAAAAAGGCAAAAGGGCAAAAAAAGGAAAGAAGATAGAACAAGTTAAGCAACCTTATTTTTCCCAAAAGAAAACAAAAAAAATTCGCAAAAACGAAATATAGAAAGAAAGGGAGAGAGCCTTACTCCAAGTCGAATTTTCCCACCAACTGGTTTTCCTTCTGCGGAGATATTTTTATTTTTGAACAAAACGTCATAATCCACGCGTGCTTGCAAGAATGCAACAAACCAAACGACAAATATAAATTGAAGTAAGGTGAGGATATGCTTAATAACTATGCAAAGATATCCACCATTTTGATGATATTCGTACACTCGAGTAAAAAACTGAAACCATTTTAAAATGCATCGTTTCATTACGTTTCCTACCAGACAACAATCGTAAATATTTGATAAATATAAAACCTGATTTCTTGTATTTGCAAAGCTAATTTAACCAGTTGAAAGAGTACAATAAAAAAAAGTGCATATATATTTTTAAAAAAAAGGGACAAGCAGGACTATTCACATTACCAAAATATATATGTATTCTGAGAAATACACAACGATTTTTTTGACAGAGATCAAATCTAACAATAGAGTGAATAAATCATAAGTCTTAGACGAGACCATGAGATGCTTACCCAACCACTGCTTGTATTACTAGGATTCAACTGTTGGATTACATTATAAATCACGACAGGAATGATAACTTTCAGGTGTACCTAATCTAAATTTGATTTCCAAGTATGTTCTATGTTTTCAAGTTTTGAAATGCTTAGGAATCGATCAATAGACTATCTAGCTACTGACATTATTTTTCTTTTTTAGACAATTTGTATAGCATACCTGATCCAAATTCTCTACTCCATCCCATAAAATACCAGAACTCGTAGCAGCATGACATGCACCAGTTCCACCTACTTCATTCGTTGGGATATCATGTTCCAGTGGTGGACTACCATACACATCCGACGGTCCATCATCTTCCCTATAGAAAGGAAAAATCCAACATCATTAATTCGAAATTATAATTTACCAACTTTAGCATTACAGCAAAATTATAGCAAATAGCAAGGATATTGTTATCGATCAATGCTTAATAACAAATTTTGCAGTCGTTTTGCTGTTTTTTATTTTAATATATTTGGAGTTTTTTTTTTCCAACTCGAAAGAAGATTATAGCAAGTTATTACAATAATACGTATAATGGAAATTTTCCATAAAAAACAGAAAATAATGGTAGAAAAGATAATAAAAACTTACGGTACTGTTCCTTCGGGAATTAGAAGTGTTTGTTCATTAGAAGGATATATTCGCGACAGAGTACTTTCATCTTCAATACTTTGATAACCTATCCTAGAGCGGAACCCAAACATCTACGATGACATTGGCCTAGATCAACAGTACCATAAAGTAGTAATCATAATCTGAGATGCAAGGATCGTTAAACAATATAAACAACTGCCAATATACCAATTCATTTTTTTTTTTATTGCTTTACTAACAATAAACGTTTTTTTCTTGAAAATTCATTCAGTCTTCATTATATACACTCAAGACTTTTATAACACGTTAAATTTGGAGTAACTAGGTCAAATCAAATATTCGAATAATTAATAAGATTCAAATAACAGTAAGTATTCAACAGCATAACAACGTATATATATATATACATATATATAGTGTACATATGTATATGTAATTTCATTTACTTGTAAAATCGAACAAACTAGCAGTAAATAACAAATAAAATAATAAAAACTGAAAGTAAAGCCAAATGAATGAAAAACAATTAGAAGAAAAAAGAAATAATCGAATATAAAAATTAAATAAACCCACTTATACAATGTAAATAAACGAAATTATTCATTTGAAGGGAAATTATTGACATAGAACGAATGAATTATAAACATATGTATTTACATAGCACGTGGTATGTTTTAAATATATAGGAATGAAGAATGAAAAAGGTGTTTAATTGCAATATTTAATTAGAGTTAGTTAGCAATAGGAAGAATTAATTAATTCAAACATCAATTTTTCGTTATGAAATTTCCAAAAATACCAAACTAAAAGCTTAATGTGCCAATAAAAATCAACAACATCCCCTCCTCACCACATCGCGTGACCTCAATCCACAACGCCATCGAATGCTCTTCTCACCCCATCAATTTCGCCTGATTTTCACCAAGGACACAATGCAATTCTAATTATCTCACAACATTTTCAATTTTTACATTGTGCGTGTTTATATGCATTTTACCTATATGCGCGATATGCATGCATGCATGCATCTACACGTAAATATAGTACATATGTTACTTTTCCTTCTCATGCCACAATATATGTATATAAGTGACACCTAAGTAACACACTTAAGTTTTTCCCATCATGACGTTAGTGAAAGAATGAAAAGTTTCATAACAATTTGATGATTGAAATAAGCAAATGCTCATATGATCAGATTACTAGCAAACAATAGTACGGAATTTTTAGCACTTACTTCATAACGATTAATGATCAGATTTTTGAACTTGTTTATTTGAAATAGACAGGAATTATATATACGTGCATAGACACATATGCGGAAAGAATGTTGTTTACACGTATGGCATATGCATTGTATATGCATGGATACGTATGCGAAAAGGACGATGTTTATGAAACTAGGTAAAAATGCAAATTTTAGTCACGTAAATGACCTCTCAAAATACATGTATATATCGAATTGTACAAGTAAATATTATACTTATCAAAAGTACCAACATAAAATTTTTTATATAATACAAAGTCTGCCACTATTATCTACGTATTTGTGCATACGTATCAACGATAAAATATAAATAAATTCCAATTATTATTTTTTCCCCAATTTTATATTAATTTCAGATTTTGATTAATTTGATACAAATGATAAAATGAATTTCTATTAAAAACAAAAAGTTGAAGGGAAAAATTTTTATTTGAAACATATTTCCCAATTTTTTTCCCACATAAATTGCTCGATGGTTGAGTGGAAAAATAATATGGATAGATTGGTTAATAGATAAACAAAAAAAAAAATACAAATTGATAACTATTATTCGTCACTTCTTAGCTGCTAAATATTTGTGATAATTGTTATTTATCATTAATAGTATCAGTGATATAGTAAGCCGAGCTACTGATTAGAATAGTGGTCATTAGATATTAACTTCCGCTTGACTAATTTCTTTAACTTATACAAATTAACAATACTTTCAATTTATACATTGGCCCTTTTTGTTAATGCTAGTATAAACAACCAATTCTTTTCTCTTTTTTTCCTATTATTTGCTTTTGAAAAAAAAAAAGTTTAGTATTTAAACAAAAAAAGATTTCTGATTCCTTTTTTTTTTCAATCCCTTCCTATTCCTTAAGTTTATATACTTTTTTTTTTGATTTCCCTTTAATTTAAACAAAAACTTCTCTCTTTTCCCTTTCTTCACCTCCGTTTCACTTTCTCTTTACTTTCAATTCATTTCTGATCTCTGAATTTATAATTTTTTAAAAAGGAATTTTCCCTTTCCTAACCTCATCTCATTTTTTTTCTTTCTCCCAATTCATTCTTGAATTTAAAACTTGATAATTTAATAAAATTTAACAGTAATTAATTAAAGACTATAATCATTTATTCAATTAAACAAGAGAAGAGAGAAATTCTTTTTTCATTTGTTAATAAGAAGAAAGTAGATGGATAAAACAACAACATTATGACAAATTAAGCAAAATGGATGTCATTGTGAGGTGACATTAACAGAAAAGATCGATTCGATATATCAAAAATAATTTGTTTACTTGCAATAATCACGCTTGTTTACAATTATTATTCAATCTCATTTTATATATTTACCAATTCATGATCATTTTCTTTTCCATTTATTACTTTTAACTTTTCTTCCACTTTTTTTTTATCTCACTTTAATGCTTTTTTTTCTTTTTATTATAAATTTTGTAGAATATTGTAAGAAATCATAAAAGTTTTGTCTTTTATCAATTTCAAATAAATTCCTATTTTTAGCAAGAAGAAAAAAAAGGTGGAAGAGAACAAAAATATCGTTTTATTTAAAAAACAATCAAAAAATGAAAATAAATATCTCTATATTTGACTTCTTTCTGCTTCTTTTCTTTTCCCTCCCTCTCTCTC